AGGGGCTCTGGTTGGACTGCTTTGGGGAGCTTTGGTGCCAAAGGGCGGAGCAAAGGGGGGCAGGGGAGGGGGCTGCCACCCTCAGACGGCCGGATGGAGCTGAATTCGCACATGTACCTCTGTTGCCTTACAAGGGGTGGCTCCCCAAGCTGGAGGAGCCTCCCGGTGGTCCCCTCAGCCTTTCCCAGGAGGTCCCGTCGAGGGTGCTTCCCTCCGGCGTTTGCTGCCTTGTTTCAGCTCTGGCCACCTACAGTTGACTCTGAGTGAGTCTCCAAAATCCCTCCCCTAAGCCAAATCTCTCACCCCTACCGATGCCCCTGATCCTTTCACCCTCGCCTCTCAGCCCCCCTCGCTCCCCAGGAACCGTGTAGGGGATCCCCCGGTGCATCATGCCCACAAGCCCTGGAGCCTGAGGCCCGCTGCCTCGGCAGCCTGCAGCAGCCGCTTGTCCGCCTTCNAGCCCAGCGCAGGGAGCCGGAGGAAGGCAGGGAGCCCCTGAGTCTCGCACAGGCAGAAAGTGCCCCTTGACAGCCATCTAGGTGTGCCTCACTTCTAGTGGTGGGAATAATCCTGCATCAGGGGTCTGGACCGAGGCCTCTTGTCCCGGGTGCTTCATTGCACCCTTCTCCTCCACAAGCTTGTTCAGAAAGTCAGTGTGTGTGTGGGGGTGTGTGTGCGCACACGCATGCGGTGTGGTGAGCATGGCTGGGTGGCTAAGCAGCTAATGTTTGCAGCTGCCAGCCTTGGACACCGTGGCCCCCAGCCCCCGACAGAGAGGTGGGGAAACCCCACTGGTGCCCCACTCGGGTCTCGAGCCCAGAGTCTGCCTTTGGGCTGGTGAGGGGCTACCTTGGCCAGTCCCTAGCTGGAAAAGCTAAGCCCCCTCCCCACAGCTGCCCTTCCACCGCCGGCTTTTGCCACAGGAGGGGGCATGCCCTCTCCTCCCTTCCCCTTCCCGCCCTGACGGTGGCTAGGCACTGACTCACATGTGTGGCTTGTTTGCA